GATGACTATCATGTGAAATGTGAGAGTTGGACCATAAAGAAGGCAGAGCGCCAAAGAATTGATGCTTTCAAACTCTGCTACTGGAGAAGACTCTTGGGAGTCCCTTGGACAGCAAGGAGATCAAACCAGTCAATCCTAAAGGATATCAACCATGAATATTCACTGGAAGGACTGATGTAGAAGCTGAAGCTCCAATACTTTGGCCAGTCCTGGGTGTTCATTGGAAGGACTGATGTTGAAGCTGAAGCTCCAATACTTTGGCCACCTGATGCAAAGAACTGACTCACTGAAAAAGACCCTGATGCTGGGAAAGATTGAGAGCAGGAGGAGAAGGGGATGACAGAGGATGAGATGGCTGGATGGCATCACTGATTCAACGGACATGAACTTGGGCAAACTCTGGGAGATGCTGAGGGGCAGGGAGGACTTACATGCTGCAGTCCATGGGGGTCACAAGAGTTGAACACAACCTGGCAACTGTACATACACACACACACACCCCACACACACACAAACGTGCACCCCTATGTTTACAGCAGCACTAATTTCAATGGCCAAGAGAGGCAAGCAAGCTACACGTCTGCAGCCACATGCGTAGACAGACAGGATGTGGTGTATACATGGGCAAAGAAGCGCGACTCAGCCAGAAAAGGAGAATGAAATACCGCCATTCGGCAGTATGTTCTTGCTGCGCAGCAACGTGGGTACACCTAGAGGTCATCGTACCAAGTGAGACACGTCAGACAAATGTTATCTGCCATCACTTAGAGGTTGAATGAAAAATACAAAAGAACTTATTTACAAAACAGAAACAGACTCATAGACATAGGGAACAATCTTATGGTTACCAAAGAGGAAAGTGGGGTAGGGATAAATTAGGGGTTTGGGATTAACAGACATACTCAGTCAGTTCAGTCGCTCAGTCGTGTCTGACTCTTTGCGACCCCATGGACTGCGGCACGCCAGGCCTCCCTGTCCATCACCAACTCCTGGAGCTTGCTCAAACTCATGGCCATCAAGTCACTGATGCCATCCAACCATTTCATCCTCTGTCGTCCCTTTCTCCTCCTGCCTTCAATCTTTCCCAGCATCAGGGTCTTTTCCAATGAGTCAGCTCTTTCCATCAGGTGGCCAAAGTACTGGAGTTTCAGCTTCAACATCAGTCCTTCCAATGAACATTCAGGACTGATTTCCTTTAGGATGGACTGGTTGGATCTCCTTGAAGTCTAAGGGACTCTCAACAGTCTTCTCCAACACCACAGTTCAAAAGCATCAATTCTTTGGCGCTCAGCTTTCTTTATGGTCCAACTTTCACATCCATACATGACTACTGGAAAAACCATAGCTTTGACTAGATGGACCTTTGTCAGTAAAGTAAAATAGATGAACAATAATGACCTACTGTATAGCATGAGGAACCATATTCAGTATCTTGTAATAAACCATAATGGAAAAGAACCTGAAAAGAATATATAAATAAATATACATAAATGAATCACTTTGCTGCACGCCTGAAACTAACATAATGCTACAAATCAACTATGCTCTAATAAAACATTAGAGTTTTTAATTTAATAAAACATTTAATTTTAAATTAAATAAACATAAATTTAATAAAACATTAAATTTAAAATAAATTTTAAAAAAATAATTCAATGCTTCCCAAACTTTTTGATGAAAACCTCTTTTCCACACAAGCAGACATTTAAAAAGGGAAGCGTGGATAAAACCTTTCATAGGTTCCCCCAGCTCTGTAACAAGAGCCCAATCTTATTTCAAAGGAACTGCAAAGCTGACAGTTTTATACACACTTACTGATGTGAAAAGAATTAGATTAAATTAGGTTCTTCATAATTATCTTTTTAAGTGAAATTTTATATTTTACTAGTCAACAGATTTTATTTGAACTCAATGAATGTGAGTGTTGGCCAGTCCTGGAGCCATAAAAACCAGGAAAAATGCCAAGGGCTGTGGATTATTCAGAACAAGCAAACATCGCCGCACTTTTCAATACTGAACTAGAATCATGTCATTAAAAAAATATGGAATATGCTCTTCCCCAAAGGCGTTCAGAATTATTGGGAACTTTTCCAAAATTGGATACAGATTTTCCCCTTCTCATTCTGGCCTGGCTTCACTGAAATTTGCATCTTGCTTCTCAGCTGAGCTGGGTTAATTATAGACATTTCCTTCTGTATTTCCCTAGTCGTGTTCCTGCTTTTAGAGTGTTTTGATGTGTGCCTCCTTGGGAAGACCTTTCTTTGGAAACATTAGCACTGGGAAGGCAATGAGCTTTGAGAAACACTGACCCAGACAGCAAGTCAGGTGCCCAGAGATGTTTTTACCAGCTCCTCCTGACTTTCTAGGTTACAGCTATGGCATGCTGACCCCTGTAAGATGTATATGGTCATGGAACCATTGATGCCTGCAAGCCAACCTCAAGATGTTTTAACTATGAGGTATTTCAGATACACGATACCTTTCCAAGGCTTTCAATGATTCACTGAGTCTATTTCTGAGCTTTTTCTTTCATCTTGAAGGCTTTTGAGTTTGTAGAAAATGCTCCAAGGTCTCCTTGAACACAACACTGGCTCTGCTTCATTTTGGGAAAAACTCATATCCTCCCCGCCCCTCTCTCTCCACTATCTACACTGATGTTGCATTTTCTGGCTCATCTCCTGGTGAGCTCACTGCGATCAGCCAGCTCACGGGGACGGCTGCCCACATCCGAGAGAGATTCCACACCTTGACATTCAGTGCGCAGTCTATCTTCACACCATGGGAGTCCTGGGAAATCAGGCAGGTATGTGCTCAGGGCCACGGCGAGGACCAACCAGAGTCTAGGTGAACAAACACAGCCTCCAGCACCTCCGAGAGGAACACTTCAGATGAAGGTCTTCGCGAGCCCTGGTTTAGAGGGAAACACATCTACTGCTTTGGGTTGGTCACTGAGGTGGACATTCCTCGGTGAGCTTGTCTTGTGTGTGTGTGTGTGTGTGTGTGTGTGTGTGTGTAAGAGAGACACAGAGAGAAACAGAGAGTGATAGAGACGGGAAACCTGAAATTAACTACGTAAGGCCAATGTGGTGGAAGAAATGCATTGACTTCCCTGGTTGGTTCCTGAGAAGAAATGTCATCATGGTGCCGTTGGCTGTCTAAACCCCCTTCCAGCTGCTCATGGTGTGATGGTCGCTCTGCTGGGGGTGATGGAGGTGCTTATCGAACCACAGAAAGTTACAGAAACCACTTTAAAGGTGGGCACGCCTTCTCTTCTGACAATTGGATGGTACAGCCAGGTTCCCATTCACCTGCTCCTGAGGCTGGAGTGAAGAAACTTTGGAAGGTTTAAAATGAAAATTTCCCAACTAAATTGCTAATAGAAAGGCAGTTAAAAGGCAGGGGTTATGTTAAAGTGAAATTTTATGAGGATCAGGAAGAGAAGTGGGTTCAGTATTTTTGTTTACAGTTAGAACACTTTTTAAATTTCAGTTGCTATAGTCAAATCCATTATCTGGCCAGTTTTCCATTATTTTTCTAAATAGCTCCACTGAGTCCATACCTTTTTTTTTTTTCCACTCTGTTTTATATGGCCACCTTTGTCAGCTGGTCCTTTTATAATAAATCCTCAAGCTGAATTGTGGGTTGTGGATGCTCTCCTCCTCCAGCCGGCAGTGCCTCCGCAGTATTTTCCGTGTCTCCTAGTTGGACCTATTCTGACCACTGCTGGGGAAACGTTACTTATTGAGCACTGACAGTGCATAATATTTCAAACTCTCAATCACAGGATGGACTTTAATAGAAGCCATGCTTTTCAGCCACTGTTTCTTCATTTGGTTTTGAGGTCTCAGGCTCCAGAGGGTCTCCATGAACATCCTTGGCAGGTATCTGGTCTTTGTGGAGATGACAGGGTCCTAGGAATTAATCTGGGGTCAGCCTGCACTGCCTCATTTGTCCTCCTCTCAGGAGGGGAGCTTGGTCTTGAACCTATGGCTCCAACCACAACATTTCTTTCACAAAAGTTGGGGCAGGGTGGGGAGGGCACAAACCCACCCCAAGGAGGATCCTGATTAACCCTGATGACCCCTGACATCCCCAGCCCTTCCTAAAACCATGGAACCCAGCAGTCCAGCCCTCTCATAACCAACCACTCAACCTGCATATCGGGATAATGGTTAAGTTACAAATGCAAGGGATTAAGATTAAATAATCAGTGCCTGTGTGATCACTGGGGGTTTATCACATTCCCTTCCCTTCCACAGTTCTAATCCCAAGACACTTTGCAGAAGGGCACACCAGAGTCCTCCACCCTTCCTTTCCAAAACAAGTAGACCTGGTAACGAGAACTTTATGATTACGGCATGTAGGATCCTATTCTAAGTGTTTAACATGCATGGACTCGAACTGAACTTCCTTGGTGGCTCAGCTGGTAAAGAATCACCTGCAATGTGGGAGACCTGGATTCGATCCCCTGAAGAGGTGAATGACGACCCACTCCAGTATTCTTGCCTGGAGAATTCCATGGACAGAGGAGCCTGGCAGGCTCCAGTCCATGGAGTCGAAAAGAGTCGGACACGACTGAGTGACTTTCACTTTCACAATATACCAATAAGAAAAATACCATAGATTTTCCCCTTAATTTTACAAATGAGGAAACTAAAGTCCAAAAAGAGTTAAGTGACTTTTTAAGGCTATACAATGACTAAATGGTGAGCAGTTGGCACTCATGCTCGGGCAGGCTGAGTCCAGGGCACACATCACCCACTGTGGCGCCCCGCCCACACAACAAACCATCCAACAACTGCCCAGCCCTGTGCCCCGCGATCACGCTGCGGGGTGGACACAGGATCGACTCTATGTGCGGCACATTCATAAACCGTGACAGGAAGAGATCATGGCAAAATCCTGCCAGTGGCTGTGAGCTTACTGGATAATTGGGCTGTTACTCAAGAGCTCTGTATTACCCACTTTTCATGTGAAATTGTACTTACGAGTAAAATATTTTAAGAGCGCAGCTGCTTTAGGGAGGAGATGACGTTCTGCTGGCTCTGTCCCCGCTCCCCTTTGGTGACTGCTATCACAAGCCCAGAACTCGGGGCAGCAGAGACTGAAAACCCCGACAAATCCAAGCTGAAGCCTGGGGTCTGGCTGCTCTGATCCAGTGAAGGCGGATGCTCCCTGGCTGACACACTCAGATGATGCTCTTCCACGGAGACCTCTGACCTTCCTGGGTGCACCCCATTCGCCCCAAGCTCCCGGCTCTGCGGGCAGGGCTGGGTTCCACTCTCTCCTCTGAGGCTTCCCTCCGTAGCCTGGTGCCCACCTGCCCAGTGGCCTCTTTCCTCCTCCATGGGCACTGCTGTGTCCCAGACTAGCACCTGTGACCAGGCTCTGACAGTGATGGGCCGGTGTGCTGGGTCCAGGAGCATCCTCGCCCCCTCCTGAGGCTCTGAGAGAGGAAGGGAGGGTGTGGACCTGCAGGGTGGAGCTCTGCCTCAGCTGCTCTGCGGAGTGGTGGGGGGTGCCTGCAGGGGGTCAGGGTCCTTGGGCCCTCTCTCAGGTGCAGAGAGATGGGTGGAGTGTGTGATAGGTGGCTTTTCACACGCACCACAGTGGTATAGAATTCACCTGCAATCCTAGAGCTGCAGACTTGATCCCTGGGTCAGGAAGAGCCCCTGGAGGAGGAAATGGCAACCTGCTCCAGTACCCTTGCCTGGAGAATCCCATGGATGGAAAAGCCTGGTGGGCTACAGTCCAGGGGGCTCTCAAAGAGTCACACACAGCTGAGTGAGCAGCGCGCACACACCTCTCCCCCTCTGTCCCTGGACTAGCACCGGGGTGCTGAGCCGGGAAACGGCGTCCCATTAACGCACATTCTCTTCTCTTGTGTAACGGTGGCAGAAAACACGTTTCCGTGAGTCTTTGGGCCTTAAGTGTTCAGAGGCACTTCGACTACTTAACTCCAGTGGTCAGAGAGCTGACTGTCCAGTCACGCATCTCCTTATTATCACTGCACTGTCTGTATCTAAGGGCCTGCACTCTGCACCGTGTGACAAATCAGGAAACGCACATGCTTATTAGCGCGTCTTCAGAGGAAGGCCCAGGACTGCCTGCAGCTGCCTGACCACCGATCAGAGAGCTGCCCGTGCCACAGACCGTGCTCTGAACAGAGGGTCTGGGGTGAGTCCTCGGTTCTGTTCAACAGCTCAGCGCAGGCTGATGTGGGCACAAGAGCCCTCAGCATGGAACACATTTGCACTCAACCCTGTCTGGTCACAGCAAATGCAAATGCAAATCTTGATTTCGCATCATCGAGACTTAAGGAGTCTTGAATCAAAGTCCTACTGCAGCCTTGAGACAGCCTCCAGGGGCCGGCGGTGCCAGGCCAGGTTGGAAGTGGGCAGAAGAGTCAGGGTCACACCTGCAGACTTCCCTTCCTGCTCCAGCTCCATCCAAAGCGCCAGGCAGCTCTGACTGTATCATCATAAAAATGGACGCTGCAGGTAGCTAATGTGCCTCCGGCAGCTTCGCATAGATTACAGAATCCAGAAGAGTTTGTGTGTGTGTGTGTCAGAATCTGTGCATTTTGGTTTTGGGAACTTCAGTTCCCCTCTAATGACACAGAGTTCAAAAACACTCTGATTTGACTTTCTACCTGCCACACGAAATGAGATCACAGGACCAAGGAAAAAGAAGCTGTGATCTTCTTCTCTCATTTAAATTGAGAATTAGGTAATGCAAATTTCTAATCAAGAAACAACTTATCGCAATGCCGTATTTATAGGAATCTCCTCTTCTTAAAGGTTTGCATTTCCCTAATGGGACTCCTTCCTCTGATAACCACAAAAAGAGAGAAAAAAGTCAGCAGAAGCAGTTATATATAGAAAATGTACCTCGTACATTTTTACTGAATGAAAGGTTCTTTAAATTCTGCAGTGCTTTACAATTTTCAAGTTTCACACACATGATTTCACATAATCCCGTCATAACCCCTTTTTAAAGTCCCCTCCTCTCCTTTCTCTCCCCAGTGGGTAACCACCAGGTTGTTCTCTATGTCTGTGAGTCTGCTTTTGTTTTTGTATTCACTGGTTCGTTGTACTTTTCAGATTGCACATATAAGTGATAACATACAGTATTTGTTTTTGTCTGACTTATCCTTTGTGTTGTTGTAAGTCGTGTCTGACTCTTTTCAACCCCATGGACTGAAGCACGCCCGGCTCCTACGTCCTTCACTAGCTCGCTGGGGTTTGCTCAAATTCATGTCCGTTGAGTCAGTATTTCAGTGGAACCATCTCATCCTCTGCCGCCCCCTTCTCCTTTTGCCTTCCATCTTTCCCAGCATCAGGGTCTTTTCTAATAAATCAACTCTTCCCCTCAGGTGGCCAAAGTATTAGACTTCTTTTTAACTCACACTTATTTTTAAACTCAGACAAAGTATCAAATGCGAACTATCACACATCTTAAGCAGGTCCTACAAAAGCAACTCCTACTGTTTCCCTAATAATTGTTTTGTCTTCTCAGCTGTGGTCTTAAGTCCTCCTGACCATTGGGCAGAAACTGCTTAGCATTAAAGGACAGATGAAAATCTGAAGAAAAGAATCCAATTGTAGCCACTTGTAAGCAGCCACATAGGAGGTTCAGAGTTCTAATTTCAGAACTCCTTTAATTTTGGGAAAAAAAAAAAGGTCTGGAGAACTGGGTTAAGGGCACTGTGCTTATTCGAATAGAAGTGAGCAGAGATGGGGTCAGGCAGGATGCCAATCCTTCATGCATTCCTGCAACAGAGACATGCTGAGCACGTTGGCCATGACAGATACAATACCAGGCACCTGGACACGCCAGAGAATAAGATAGCCAGAGATCCTGACACTAGTCAGCTGGTACTCTAAGTGTGTGTGTGTGGCGGGGGGGGGGGGGGAGACAAAAATAAAACAGGCATGATAAGAAGATTATAACAACATATCGGAAGGTGATAAATGCAGGGTGGGAAAGACCAGGAGGGCTGGGTGGGGGAGCTGCAACTTTAAGTAGGATGCCCAGCACAGACCCCTGAGGAAGTGATGGGGAAGCAGAGATGTGAAGGGCAGGTAGGCAGGATGTTCAGGCAGAGGGAACAGACAACGCACACCATCCGGCCATGACAGGAACCTTGACATTTACTGAGGGAAGTGAGGAGCCGCGTGAGGGTCACCCTGCAGAGCGATGTTCTGCAGAGCGTTCAGGACACGGGGAAATGGACTGTCCATGCGGTCAGGATGGATCTGAGAGGGACAAGAGGAAGGGAAGCTTGGAGGATGGTGTGAAAACTTCCCAGAGTCCATCCAAGCAGGAAAATGGCTCTTAAGTGTGTGTAAGAGGGGGTGACAGATACCGGGGGGGTGGGCAGAAATGACCCCTCAAGTCCGCCTCTATTTCAGAGACACTGTGATGAACCCCAGAAATCGAAAACAAGACTGTTTTCCCTATGGCTATGATGAAATAAAAGATGTGCTGGAGCAGGAGAAGCAAGATCAAAGATCACAGGGAGACAGGACATTGGGATTCTGCTCAGGTGTGCTCCGGGCACCTGGGGAGACAAAAAGCTTCTGGTTGATATGATCTCCTTGGTGCTGCAGGACAGCCGTGAGGAACGGTATCAGTGATGGCGTGTCCAGTAAGGCCAGCACCCGACAAGGAAACCAGACATCCCCGCTCATCACAGCCAGCTACTGTTTCCATAGAAACAGTGCCCCATCTTTGACAGCATCTCCCCTCTCCCTGTAACAGATAACCAGTCATTTAGGGGCTGACTTTTCCGTCCATTCAGAGAAACAAAAAATCTAGGAAAAAGGAAGAGAAACTGGTGACACCTTTCTACACGTGAAATAAAGAACTGGCCAGGACAGGCACTGGGGGAGAAAGAGCATTTGCTAGATCTGGGCGTGTCTGATGACATCGCCTATTGTTTAGATGAAGACATATCCTCTTTTATGGTGGCTCAGGGAGTCAAGAATCTGCCTGCAATGCCAGAGGCACAGGTTCAATCCCTGGGCTGGGAAGATCCCCCGGAGAAGGGAATGGCAACCCACTCCAATGTTCTTGCCTAACACATCCCATGGACTGAGGAGCCTGGTGGGTTACAGTCCATGGGGTTGCAAAGAGTCGGACACAACTGAGCGACTTACACTACACACACACGTGTCCTCTTTAATCCTACACTGTAAATGTAGATTCCATGTAAAATGGATTCCAAAATCCACGTGAAATGAAGAGCACAACACACAATATAAGGACACAGACGAAGCATCCAGGCTTCCCTATGGGAACCTCAGAGTCTCTTCATTTCTGACTTGAACGGTCTAAAGCCCAGAAGGCTCATTTCTAAGGCTGAGCCTTTGCAGCATCCGGAAGGCTGTCTGCCTCCATCATTACTATCTAGGAACCTGTATGTCCACTCTGGCCACTCAGCCTCTCCCTTGCCCCCTCCCAGGAGCGCCCACACTTGTCTCTTCTCACCTTTTCCACCACACCCAACAAGCATGCTCCCGAAAGACAGGAAATGAGGGAACCGGTTAAAACTCATCACCCCAACATCGGGTGCCCTCCCAGGGAAATTTCCATTTCCGTCTTTTTGGGAACTGAAAAGTTTTAAGCGTGATGCAGGAAGGTAGAATGAAACTTCCCATAGAGGTTGAGAAAGTGCTGGATTTGCCCACAGAGGAGGATACAACCAAGTTCCCAGAGACAGTGCATGGTGGCTGATCCACAGGAACACGTATCCCTCTGTGTCCATCTGCTCAGGCCTGGTGACACTGTCTGGACGTAACCGAGGTGTTTTACAAACCTAACTTTCTATCTGTCTTGCTGAACAGCCTCTACCTGAAATACTGCTAGCATCCGCGGCAGAAGGAAGGAGAGCAGGGCAAACCACGGGCCAGCTCACAAAGCGTCCACTTAGGACAGCTCTTCTCATTTCTAGTCCATGCCACCTGCCAAGGCCAACCACGTGACCACACGGGACGCTAGGATGGAGGGCATAAGCCCACGGGTGCCCTGAGACCCACAATAACATGCAGAGCAGCAGTGACCCAGCGCCAAACCATGGCATCACTCAATGTGAGGTCCATTTTGGAAACTCAGCCCAACTTGACTTCTGGCTCCATTTCTTCACGTGCCACGCCTACACACCCCTCGAGCAAACTAACCATGGCCCCCATGTAAGTTTCAGCGGAGCCTCTGTCCCCTCAAAGCACTATTCTCAGCAGAAATGCACGCTGGGCTGGACCTGCGAACAGATGGGTTCACTCTGGACTCAAAGAGTTTCACCTGCAACACACTGCCCTCACACCTGGCACAGAGAACACACGTTTGCAAGTTGGAAAAGATGGAAGGGACGTAACAACAGAGAAGACCTAGAAGTTCGCCTGTGAAAGGAGCTAGGTGTTCGATTAACATAACGCAGCCAAGTGTTCCAGAAAATGACAACCGTCCCCTCTGGGAATATTCCCAAGACGATGTGGCAAGGTAGGCGGGGATGAAAGTCTCATCTCCAGGCAGCCTGAGGACTAAGAGGGCAGAGCGTGGGACCACTTGTCTCTGTTGGCTTCAGGTGCAGAAAGGCAGCGGTCCGTCCACAGAGTGGTGGAGATGCTGAGAAGGGATGCGCAGAAGCCACAAAGAGCCCAGAACCAGCCATGCATCTCCAGGGCTTGGAGCCATTCACACAAGGCAGGTGGGGTTTCACTACCTTGTGGGGTTGCAACCAGCTTGCAACTCTTAAGAGTTTTCACAAACTGATGAGATAATGTCATCTCTCAGGATTTTCAAAGAGATTTCTTATTTTTGCTTTTGATGTTTAAATTGCTGGATGGCAGACTGTATGAAGCATAGGAAGGATCTGAATACAGTTTAGGAAATTAAATATTTTGGGGGAAACGGTTAGGGAGCCTGGAGGTCCGGGATTGTCTCATGCATTTCTCTACCTCTAGTTTCTGCTTTAACCACCTCCTCTTCACTTGTACTGCATAAAACCTCTTTTATTCCGTTCCTATTCTTCAATGCTCCCTTCTTCCAATCCTGGTCCACTTCTGGCTGATGCCATCTTAAAACATACTAGATGCACAATATAGAAAACAGAAGGAATATAAACAATCAAATAAATATATTATAGATGATATAACAAAGACCATTGCTATACGAAATAGCTGTATTAATTCCAGTAGTTCTGTCTTTAAACTAAATCTTCTCAAACAGTAAACGATAGGAGACAGAAGGATTCATTGGTCTTCTCAATTCCAAACTGGGGAACATGCCACGAAAACCTGCTCCACATTTTTTTTAAGAGGCATATTAAAACTGACCCCAAATCATCTAAGGTAAAAGCTGATAGCAAATAAAATCTGAACATTAGAGAAAGTTAAGATTTTATTTTGATAATGGCTGTGATACCCTGGATAATCTTGAAGTTCCCCTTTAATTAAAAACTATGTGGAGGTATGGTTTTTTTTTTTAAATTTCCATTGGGCATGGTACTAGTATGATTTTACTGCATTCTAAATGCCTTCAAGCTGTTTATCTACATACCACAGGAATGAGTTAAACTTAGGTTTGTCTATTTTAAAGGGAACGACTGTTCCAGGACCTGAGAACCATTACATTTGTAGCAACAGGAGTCCCCTCTTTCCTGCATCCAGGCAAGACTCCAGTCCCTGCCAGGTGCCCGGCTACGATGCCCACCCCCTGGTGCCCGCTGCTGTCAATGGAGATGTTCCGACTCTGGGAAGCAGGATGCTCACCACCTGGAAGTCTACCATCTGGGCCTTGTGGGCCTTCCTGGCTTCAGACTCCCTGTAAAGTTACCCATATAAGTTCCCAGATTATGGGACAAAACTGAACATTTCCCTTGCTTCCAGTGGGTCTGGATGCTGCTAAGAAACACAGAAAGCATTGTATGAAGGAAAAAAGAGTAAAACCATTGGGGAAACCCATTCAGGGCAAAAGTCTCATACTACTGTGGTGAAACTGTTATTTCCTTTGGCAATTAGCATATCCATTTAGAATCAAAATAATTTAGACTGTTAAGATTTCATAACATTCATATGTTTGAAACCCAGTGATATAATTAAGTTAATTCTTACACTCAATTACAGTACCATAGTGGATACTGAGAGGATAGCAGAGAAGGGAAGCCTGAGTTTCTCTGAGGTCAGAGAACATAAGTGATTTACAGAATATTATTCACATAACTATCTACAGTCTTCTCATCTGTAAGATGAGATGTTATCCACTTCTTAAATATTTTATTTCAGATAATTTCAAGATGCAGATTCTTCTAAAGATACATGTTCCAAAAGCCATTAGCCAGAAAGGCTGAGTGCTTTTCTTTTGTACGTGGACATAAAACCGAATGGATGTGTTTAAAATGAAGCAAAGCGTAGCATGGCACATGGGCACCGACTGCCCTTAACACTGTATTTATTAGGCAGAATTTAATTTTGAAAGGATTACTATATGTATTATTTTATAGGCAACACTGCATGAAAGGGATCACTACTGTATAGTGCAGAGAAGCATTCCATATGCACATGATAAATGCAATGTTATCATCAGAGTAATTAAAAGGAACAGGGTTATATACAATCAGCGTGTACATCTTACTCAGCAGCTCCTGCCAGTTGCTTCCAAAAATTAAACTCATTAATCATTCTGACTCCAAAGGAGAAAAAGCTTGGAGTATGAAATAAAAAGCTCTATTTTTATGAAGAAAAAATGTCCAAAGTCAACATCTAGAGCAATTCCTGTCTACATAGTGATACTAGAATAATAATCTCATGTGGGAAAAAGAGCTGATTCCATTGTCAAAAATATAAACTGATACTATGTTATCTAATACTCCAGACCTCCTCATATCTACAGGTAACATATACAAGTAAATTACTTAAAAGTGTGCACTAGCACGAATAAAAGGAAGCACGCCATATGAAGTAGGCTGCCGTGCCCACTTCAAAAGATCTTCCTGCTACACAGAACTCAATTCCACCGAGAAGGCAGAATGCTCATTTTTCATAAACAGATTCAGCCTTAAGCAAAGACGTACTTTTTTGGCCGACTCCACAGAGCAAAGGCTTGTTAACGCATTGAAATTTATTTGCGATAATTCACAGTGGACAATTGGCTCATCCAAATGAAAAACATCAGGCTTACCCTGACTAATTTTTCAAGCCAACAGATTAGCTCTTTGTTATGGTTCTCCCCAGGCCAAGGTAACAAGGAAGGTGGAATGAGATACACCCAGTGGTGCTTTAAAAAACACAGCGTGCAGTGCAGAGGCAAGACAGTTTTGATGCTATATTTGGCTTCACCCATCAGTCAGCTAGCACTGAATCTCTGTTTATATCACCATTTATACTTGCTTGTAACAGACAATTTCCCAATGATGACTATGTGCTCTGCACTGAGACAATAAGCAAAATTTTGTATAATTTTGTGATAGCTACTTTACCAAAACATTCACAGAGACACTGTTTTAGATAGTAAACACATGAAATTAAAAGACGCTTGCTCCTTGGAGGAAAAGTTGTGACCAAGCTAGACAGCATATTAAAAAGCAGAGACATTACTTTGCCAACAAAGGTCCATCTAGTCAAAGCTATGGTTTTTCCAGTGGTCATGTATGGATGTGAGAGTTGGACTATAAAGAAAGCTGAGCGCCAGAGAATTGATGCTTTGGAATGGTGGTGTTGGAGAAGACTGTTGAGAGTCCCTTGGACTGCAAGGAGAGCCAATCAGCCCATCCTAAAGGAAATCAGTCCTGAATATTCATTGGAAGGACTGATGCTGAAACTCCAATACTTTAGCCACCTGATGCAAAGAACTGACTCACTGGAAAAGACCCTGATGCTGGGAAAGATTGAAGGCAGTAGGAGAAAGGGACGACAGAAGATGAGATAACTGGATGGCATGACCAACTCGACGGACATGAGTTTGATGAGTTTGAGTAAGCTCCAGGAGTTGGTGATAGACAAGGAGGCCTGGTGTGCTGCAGTCCATGGGGTTGCAAAGAGTTGGACAGGACTGAGACTGAACTGGACCGACTGACTTGTCTTGTGTTTAACATTGCTCTGAAATGCAGAAAATAGGCTTTGCAGGAGGACAGCTGTCGGAGGGTACTATGATATAGTGTCACACAGCATTAAACCCGTGAGGGCACCTCAAAGCCTATCTAGCGAGATACTTCATATCACAAGAAAGAAATCAAGATACTGAGAGAAATGTAACCATACAAGCTTATGATTACTGTATGCCATGCTCAGGGGTGGAAGAAATAGTAGAAGTAGAAATAAGAGGTTAGGCAAAAAGTCATTTAGAATAGCGAGATGTAAAGAGAGGGAAGCGGTGGCTCAGCGGTAAAGAATCTGCCTGCCAGTGCAGGAGACACGGAGACGTGAGTTCCATCCCTGGGCCGGGACGATCCCCTGGAGAAGGAAACGGCAACCCACTCCAGTAGTCTTGCCCAGAAAACCTCATGGAGGGGCTGGAGGAGCCTGGTGGGCTGCAGTCCATGGGTTCACAAAAGAGTTGGACGTGACTGAGCGACTAACCAACCACATGAAAAAAGAGAGGGAAATGACAGTCAGGGATATAGTTTACGTGGATGTCTTGTCACCACTACCAAAACTGATCTTAGGAACAAAAGGTGGGAGAAGAGATCCATGTGGGGACCTCCAAGGTCCTTCCAACCCTACAATTCTCAAATTCTGCAAAATAGAAAAGCGAATACTCTTCAGAAGAGACGCTAGGAGGTGTATACCAGAGGAATTAAGCTACTATGGCCATCTGCTATTACAGAAGCTGTGAAATATACTCAGCTCCCTTTATCTTCATTTTAATTTTCCCAATATTCAATTTATCTTAAGAAGAAAGCATGGCAGGGAAAAAATAGAATAGTGGAGACCAAAACCTTGGAGTATATGTTCTCCCAACCCCCTACATGGGGAGAGGAGGGGAAAAAAAGGACTTACAAAGGTCAGAAAGAGATAGGACATGAATTCATGTGGCATCATGATGACACATGATACAGAAGTCTGAGGTGTAGGGTGGCGGTGATCAGGAGTAAAAGAGGAGACAACAGGACTAAGGCCATTTTATCAAGTACTTAAGAGGACACTGAAGACATTGTGTGTGCAGTTTTCTGCAGTGACGACAGTAAGAACGTGAATGTGCCACCAACCTAAATAAGGAAAAAGGAATCCTTGTAATGAACTAGTGAATCCACTTTAGATCACGTGATTGAGAATTTGAAAGCTCCAAGCAACCCTGTGACATCCCATAACTCTTCTACAGATGAGTTACACTAAGTATTATCGAATTCGACATGAAAACAATGAGATCAAGCTGGTGGCTGAAAGTTTTAACCTTTTTCTAAATATGTTAGGAAGATAATATGAGATTTTAAATACATTTGAAATTGCATAAGAAAGTCAGAAGGTATACAAATATTTCGGTGGAGTCAAGCTGCTTGAAAAGTTAAAGTTGATAAACTCCAAGGAGAAATTAACAGGATGTTGACAGCATGTCAGTGAAAAGTCAAGGTGGAGAGGAAGAAGGGCTGGTGGTTGCAGACAAACAGGAAGGTGTAATACATCAGAAGCATGAGATCATAAGCTAGATAGCACTGACATCATAAGATAGACTGCATAAGCAATGATTTTTGCTCAATCTCTGTTTTGGCTGAATTGCTGTTTTAAAATCCTATTGTCACATTTGTACTGTTAGGAAATCACGTGTCATCAAAAATGAAGAATACAGGAACATGCTGATGTGGCCTCAACAAGCCTAGTGCCCGGACAGTCACCCATGGCCTCCAAAGTCCTTTAAGAAATCAAAAGGAAATGCTCAAGTGAGGGCGCAACAAGGTTCAGTATTTTTAAATTAATTGAAGTTAATTCCTACCAGAAGTTACTAAACTCCATTAAAAGTCACTTCCAGCAACAGTCCCTTTAAGAGGCAACTTATTTTTAGCCTATGAAATGAATTTTAAATCAAAATAGCTATTGATTCCTCAGAGGGGTCTCTCAAGTCGTTGACTTTAAATAAATATAAGATTGATGAGGAAACTCTGGTAGAAAAGCACTCTGGCTTGCTTTCTTCTTCAAAGTTAAACTTCACACCTTAAAACTGGCCCACCCCAAACAGACTTTTACACAGTGGAGAAGTCCCTACATGTAGCTGGTGCAGACAGGCAATGCACTCCTAGTTACTAACCATGCAATTGCAGCATTTTACTTCTCTCTTCCAGACCCGGTAACTACCTTCAACATTATTTTGTAAAGAACTGTCCATTCTCAGTCCCATTCAGACACGTGTGCATACACACAGACACAGATCAAGAACTACATTTTATTCCCTCATTTCTAGATGGCAGGACAATGAGACACAAAGCTCGTTGGATTTTAAAGGTAATGCTGTTTACCATCATGTGAGTGACCAAGGTGGGAAGGCTGTTTCTGTTCCACGGCACAGACAAGCCACAAAGAGCAATGACACCAGCAGCCTTAGTGCTGGGACTCCAGACGAAGGTGCTGAAGACTTCCTGGGTGCTAATAGACGGGATGCTTCAGAACGTTGGACAGCAACCAGCATGCCCTGGGGATGCCCAAGGTACACGGAAAAACATGCAACATATTCCTAATCAGTTGTACATCTTAAGGGTTAAATGTAGGTAGCAGGGTGATTACTCAAGATTCTTTAATCTTAACAAGGGCTGATATCAGAAAAGTAGTTTTTGTACCTACTTTCTTTAACTAGTACTAACTCATAGCAAATGGCATTCCCTGTGACTGGAGGGAAAAGAATCTGTTTAATGTGTACACCTACGTAGTATATTTTTAGACATAATTTTTCCAATCCTGAATATTTTTTTTTGAGAAAAGCACATAAAAATTTTCAAGAAATTGATGCTACATTTAGTCATGTGTCATTTTTTAATAATACATTTTAAACATGATATATATATTTCAGAAGGATACTGCATACACTATATTTATACCTACATTTACACACACAGACATACACACACCCTTTTTTTCCTTTTCCATGAAATAAAAAACATTAATATCAGGAGTTCATGAATTTAAAGTAGATATACTCTCCAGAGTCATCTCAGCAGAAATTATTTGCAAATGTTAAATTAATAATTTGCTCCTCAATGCAACCCTTTTGCTTATCTGAGGAACAGTTCTAGACATGTGTCAAACTGAAAGGAGGAATACATTCTCAAAGCTGAGGGGGAAATGGGCGGAGACCGTCTACAACAAAATTCAGAAACTCTCCCCTCTCCATTCCCCGAGCGACACCTAGAGCCTGTTAGGAGGAAATTGCTCATGGTTCTCACTTCAAGCATAACAAATTCCAACAGTTTTAAGTCAAAAGATTCAAGGCAAAAAGTGCATCATTTGTGTCTGCATTGCAGCTAGGTGGTCTTCCCCAAGATCTCTGGAGTTTAATCCTCCATAATTTTTCAACTGCCCCAATGAAACCCCTCCTCAGAGATTCTGGTTCCTTGACTCTGAGAATTCATGCATTTCCCTTAGGACCCGACCCACTGGAGTGATGGCCATCTCTCTGACAGGTCTTTGTGTAACCGGGGAGGGGCGGGTGTCTGGGAATAAACAAAAATAAGTAAATCTCATGCAAGCTCTAATACAGTGTGTGTGTGTGTGTGTGTGTGTGTGTAACCACATCTCCTACAAACTTTTGCCATGTCTCCAGATCCTCCATTCACAAAACAAAACAACCAGTGAGGCAAGGCAGGACATGTTGAATGACCACAGCCTCGTGCTCAGGGCAGAGGCAGGAACTGCCCTGGGTCTGCCAGGGGAGGCCATCTGCGAGGCTTGTGAGAGGACTTGCATCCAGGAACCCCCCACCCCAGGAGGGGGGGCGGGGGGACACTCAAAGCTACACACAGTAAACTCTTGGACCTAACACACCCAGAGGGGGCTGGACCAGTTGAGCCAGTCCTGTCTGCCTGTCTGAGACCTTGTCTGGGATTTTTTCTCTGCTTTTTTTTCTGGGAACACAAGGTATCAGAAGCATCCCTTGGCCCTGCCTGGCCCTCTGAATAGCTGGAATTGATCAATAGAGGTGGTTGAACTCATCCATCTCCGCAGCCTTCGGTGTCCTGCCTGAGTCATTGGTTACTAAGGTGATATGCAAATCAAACCTTTGAAACCCCCAGCCACCAGGCCGGAGAAGAGTAGAAAACGTGCTCCTGGAGAAGTTTTCCCACTGACACAGTCCAAGGTCGTAGCTAGTCCAAGACCAGGTGTGGGGACAGGCAGGGCCTGACTCCCACCAGCGAAAACTGTGCTGGGCCTGGGACAGAGGGCTGGGCCTCGGAGGCAAGCGCCTTTATTTTATGGTTCAGGAAAGAGGATCACCACCAGCCCCACCACCAGTGCGGGGCGGGGGGATTAGGGGAGGGGGCGGAGAGTGGAGAAGTGGCAGCCCGGGCGGTAAGGGCTCCAGTGACAGGCGGGAGGGGGCGAAAAGGAGCCTGGGACAGTCTCTTCCTTGAGTCTTAAAGCAGACAAAAGAAAACAGAAAGAAAGAACAGAGAAACCAACTGGTAGGCACACACAGATCGAATTCTCTCCTTAGGATCCATAGCAGCGTGCGGCCAACAGCAAGCGTCCCCAGGGCCTCCGTGAACCCTCAGCCAATTCCACACCCCAGCAGCGCAGCTCCGCCAACGCTGCCCTCAAAGCCACCAACTCCTGGCCCGCCGCCGCCGCAGACCGGGACCCGCTCCAGGACGGCGGTGACCGAGATCCGCGCAAGGAGTGGATTTGTGGGCGCGCTTCCGGGAGGAGTGGGGGAGGGGATGGCGCCCCGAGACCCTCGCAGACTCGGCGCGGGTGCGTCTCCCCCGGGCTCGCCTGGAGCCCCGCGTCTCCCCCCAGCCACCCCCACCCCAAGATGCTCTTACGTCCTCGTCGTCACAGTCGCTCCGTGCCTGGTACTGGAACCGGGGCCGGCCACCCGCGCCACCGCCGCCGCGCTCCCGGGGCGCCGCCGCGGGCGCCTGGGCTCCAAGGGGCTTGGGCCCCGCGCCGTCCTCCTCGGGCCCCTGGCCGCCCAGGAGGCGGCTCGCCTCCGGGGGCGCCGGGAAGGACCGCGAGGTGTTGATCTTGCCCGTGAACCTCTGGTAGAGCGAAGCCATCGGTCTCCGCGCGCTCTCGCCGGCTGTCTTTGGGGCTTTTCTATATCGGCTTTCTCGCTCTCGGGCTCCCGCTCCCCACGCCCTCCGGGGGGAAAAGGGGAAGAAGAAGAGGAGGAGGAGGCGGAGGAAAGGACGGCGGCAGCGCGCCGCTCCTCCCGCGCGCCACTCTCGAGTCGCCGCCGAGCGACCGCCTGGCTCAGCCTCCTCCGCCCCCTCCCCGGCGGCTCCGCCGAGCCGGGGTCTGGCGGCGTGTTCTCTTTCCTTTTGCTTTTCTGTTTTCAACTCCTCGCCACGGCCGCGTACGGCCTAATCAAAGCCATTGAAGGGAAGAAAAACAACAGAAAACCATAAAGGGAGGGAAAATGCCTAGGCCCCGGAATTTGGCACCACCTAGAGCCCAGCAAGCCTCCGGAGCGCATCTCCGCGCTCCCCCCGCCCCGGGGCCCCGCGCAGCTCCTCCTCCCCGCCTTCTCCCCACGCGGCCCTTCACCCCCGGGAACGGCGCCCGGGTGGCCCGGGGCTGGCCGCGAGGAGGCCGCGGAGCCATGCAGCTCGTGGGTGCGGGAGCGCGCTGAGGGGCTCCGGGCCACCGGGAGAGCGCACCCCGCCGTCTTTCGGGAGAGCGCAGCGACGGAAGAGGCCCGCGATGGGGAGGGGCGTGGGGGGCACGGAGGCAGGGGGCGGCACCCCCAGACGCAGGTTCTCGGTTCCGCGCGGGGCTGCGCTCCGCGTCCACGCGCTAGTATCGCTCGCTGCTGCAACCCCGGCGCCCTGCGGGGCGCTTCCCTTCGTGTTTCCCTTGCAGCTTTCCCTGCCTAACGCGGACCGGCAATAGCCGAGACCCCTGAGGGGCGGGGGTGCGCACGGGGTTGACGGAGAGCAAACCGCAGGGCTGCAAGGGAGGGGGGTCGGGGTCGCGGCCTCCGATGAGCCCCCTTCCTTCCCAAACCAAGCTCTGCTCCAAAAACAGGTCTCAAGAAGAAGAGAAGGAAAAGGTCACAGAAGGCAGGCCAGGGCCGACCCGGGCGCTGTGGGGGTTGCCTTCCGAGCGACTCAATCCAGCGCTCCTCCCGGCACACCCCACTTATTTGCGTGTATCGCGAACTTCATTTTCGTTTTCGATAAGCGTGTAAGCCTCAACGGAGGCTAAAGCATTTGGTGATGCCTGCAACTTTTCCGAAGCCTGCTCCGCGCCCGCCCCCAACCCCTGCACGGAGAGGAAGTGGGGAGCCCTGGGTGTGTGTTGGGGGGGCGACACCTACTGGGGCGCTCGGGTCTGGGTGCACATTAGCTCTTCCTCTGCAGTAAAACGTGCTCCAGCGCCCCTGTGTGGAAAGACACCCACTGCGCCTGGGCGCTGGGCTCCAGCTCAGACCGCAGGCTGGCGTCTGGTTTGCCCCGGCCTTTCGGGGTGGATTCCTCCCTCCTGTCCTGTTGGAGTCCGCGCCATCGTCCTGTTTGAGGATCTAGGGCTCTCCCTGCTGGTCTCGTCCCCGCCCCCTCACCCCACCCTCGATCCTCCACGTGCAGCCCTCTCCCCCTTGTTGGCAGCCCTTGGCCTGGGATGGATCGTCCTGTCCTGAGCGACTAGGACCCCACACTCCAGACCAGCTCACACCTGCCCCGGCGCTTCCCGGGTCCGTCCACTCCACGTAGATGTGGGCATCTTCACCTTCACCTTCCCGCTACTCCATGGTTTCTGTGACCACTTGAGAAAATGGCCAGGCCTGGGCCACTCGGCGGCCCCTACCGCAGGCTGCCAGCGCTTGTTGGGTCTGAGTTCAAGGCCACCTCCTGGCACCACTGTCCAAGCGCAGAAATCCCAGAGGGAAAGAGACCTTGCCGTCCCTTGTCCTAAAAATCAGCTGCCTCCTGTGCTGAAGCAAGGAGGAAAGAGCAGATAAAACCAAGGAGGGTCTTGGAATGCAGGAATGGAAAAAGCAGACCCTCATCGTCCTTCCCTCCCCGGTGTTGTAACTATTAATGGAACAGTATAACCTGTCTCCCCTCCTACCCCATAGGGAGGAGGTATTTGCCCTACTCTTCCCCCACCCAGTATGCATGCTCCATCCAATCAGCAAATGACTCGCAAGACCCCCTACCCCACTTCTTGTACCCTGGGTATAAAAGTAGACTAAGGACCCCTGTAGAACATCAGTTCTCCGTTCAGCTGGCCTGCTGTTGTAACAGCATCTCCCACTCTAATAAACTGTATTTCCCTCTCGTTCTGTCTCATGTCTGGAAATTCTTTTCCAACCCATGCCCGGCCCAGGACACCTCCTTCCGTGTCCTTAACTTGGGTGGAGACACTGGAAGTCCGCTGGGAGAGGACCCCTTCCGATCCCTCCCAAGCTCTCAACCTAGCAAGTAGTCTTGTTTTAATTAAAATGTATACCACAGCTATCCTCTGTTTAATCCACTGTGGTTTCCTTCCACTAAGAAACAGAAGTGCATCTTAACATAGTTCAAAAACATGCTTCCCTTCCAGAGACCATAAAAACAAATAGAATCAGTAACTGGACAGCTGGGGGCTCCCCCGCACTCCAAAAGGCAGATGTGTCTCCCGCGGATCTGGGGGTGCCAGAGCATCCTGCCCTACATGACTGAAGACAGAGGCCACAATTAGAAGAACCATCCAGCTAAACCTTGAGTCATCACATTCAGATAAATAGGAAACCTTGCTTTCATCCCCCTTCCCCCGCCCAGCTGTGCTTCAGATCCATGAAACTGCTTTCCCAAACCAACTTGAAAGGAAAGGCCCCCCACTGCTGCTCACAGTGGCATCTAGATCTGACATCTCACTAAATATAGAGGCTGTGAGGGTCCCACTGATGTAGTACACACACATATATATTTATGAAATGTTCATGTATATATTTACATGAATTGTGAGGAGAAGCATGATGAGTATTTCTTGTGGCAATATAGTTCATACAAGATATTTATATGGAAATAGTTTATCTATTGCACACAATAATTTATAGATGTGTGTGTATCAACAAGGATAGAGTAAAAGGGAAATAAGGAAGACATGCAGGGTCTCTCACACTTGAAATTATATTTTCAAGTGATCACGTAGGTCTTCAAATTACAATTTGGCCAAATTGACAGGATGGGATGGCTGGATGGCATCACCAACTCAATGGACATGAGTCTGAACAAACTCCAGGACACCACGAAGGACAGGGCAGCCTGGCGTACTGCAGTCCGTGGGGTCACAAAGAGTCAGACACAACTTAGTGACTGAACACCACACAATAAAAATCTCAACTAAAGGATTCAGATGAAATGATAAGCCATTTTAATGTACATTTATTTGTAAAGTGCAAAAAGGTATAAAGCCCATAAGGAACTGGAGGAAGAGCTGAGTACAGACTGGTGTCAAAACAAGTATATCTGAAAATTAAACAGGACAAATGGAGGGCAAGGAGCTGTTGCGATGCGCAGAGGTCAGTGTGATGTGAGGAGACAGAACACTAATGAGGAACCAACACAAGCTGCAAAGCTTCCTCAGTGCCATCTAAGAGATCTAGGGTCCATCAACCAACTTAAAAAGCACTGGGCTACCTTCCTCCACCTATACACTGGATACAACTCATTCTAAAGCATATTCTAGACTTTGAATGTGAGTCTGTGCACACATGTTGGCAAGCGTGTATGCACTCACATATCCAAGTCTGCCTTAAACACTGATACATACATTGCAGGGTCTCTTTGGATAGACTGTCAGAACTCTGAAGTCCCAAATGCAAAGAGGAAACTGGGTAATATTTTAGGATGAATGTGTCTCAGTGGCACTTCATGATGCCATGAATTCATTCACTTATTGCTTTCAATAACCTTTTCAGAACCCCAACCTTTAAATAAGGAAAAAGATTCTGAAGGGTAGCAAAACTTCCCAGGGAGCGTGTAAACAGGCGCAGCGCTGCAGAAGGAAACTTGTCAATAACAGCCTCCACTCAACACTGAACGTCTTGGCTACCCAGTCTATAAAAGATTTCCATTCCTGCTCTTTGGCTAAGTATGGGAATCTATTTTCAAAAATGTTCTGTGGATTACCTCACACCAAAATTTTAATTCCTCACTATGGCTTAAAACTCTGATCACCGACCCATTTTTTCCATCTAGTTTCATGATTGTTTCTTCCTTGTTTATTAAAAGGTGGGAGTGTGTGTTTATTTTCCCTGGAACCAATTTACAAAACAAATATGGTAAATCATTGGAATTAGGCAGATGCTGCAAAATAGGATGGGTAGTTATTTTTTTTAGTGACAATAAAGGGAACTTTCTGTTCTATACACAAGTGAAGCATTGTAAAAATAGCAAACGTGTATTGAGTCCACAGCCTAGGCAAGCTTTTTATTACCTAAGAGGTTTTCTTATTTCTAGGAGAGAATTATGTCCTATAGTTTACTTCCCCTTTCTGTTGGAGGAGAACGAGGAGGACAGAACCTTGCTTAAAAGATTTTTATTCTTTTCCAAACACTGATATTTCAGAAAATGAAATGGCCAACTTGGCACACTCTGACAGAAAGGCTTCCCTAAAACACTGGGCATCAGTGTTTTTTAAATATTATCACATTGTATTCATACAAATGGAAAGAAATAAAACAAGTATTTTGGTTGCTTGAGAAAATACAGTACCAACTACATAAATACAGAGTACCCATTCTCTCGTGTATTCTCTCTTTAAAATAATTATTTATTTGCAAGATGACTAACGAGAGGGATCCGGATGGTGAGATGGTAAGATGTCCTTTTCAAACTTTACAAATAGGAAAAGTCCAGCACAAGAAAAAGAAAAGGCCACTACTAGGTTTGGGTTTCCCTGGTGGTAAAGGACCTGCCTGCCAACGCGGGAGACCCGGGTTGGATCCCTGGGTCAGGAAGATCCCCTGGAGAAGGAAACGGCAACTCACCCCAGTATTCTTGCCTGGGAAATCCCATGGACAGAAGAGCCTGGTGGGCTACAGTCCATGGGGTCGCAAAGATTCAGACACAACTGAGCAACTAAACAACAGCAAAAACAACTCCTGGCCTTAACACAAAGTTAAAGTACGAATTGAATTAACCTTGGGCTTTTTGAATTGATACTTCAAGATTAATATGTTTTAAAGGAAACCATTTATTTTAAGCCTGGCGGGCTACAGTCCATGGGGTCGCAAAGAGTCAAACACGACTGAGTGACTAGCACTTTCATTTCACTTTCAACCAAAAGGCTTATGCTGAAATTAATGTAGTTAAATGTTAATTGCCAGCAGCACATGTCCCTGCATTTTAGTACTGACTCTGCGTTTGCTCGGTTTTCTCATACAGTCTGAGATATACATACAACTCTCTGCCCCAGGCAGCGCCTGCTCACGTGGACTTGGTCACTAATACATGTGGCAAAGCTGATCACCAAGTAAGTAAAACAATCGCTGATTCAACTAAGCCTGGTGGGGCTGCAGGAGTCCACCCTTCCTTCCTTTAGGGGTGCATTCTCTTCTGTCACCTCCACCCATGGACACTGGGCCATGGTCTACTTCCTCTTTCCTCCCATCCCTCCTATCTTCCCATCCTCTTTCTGCTCCTCTATGGTCCCTGCTCTGGATCAGTATCAGTAAACTGCATTTTTTTTCTTTAAAAATTCCTTGCTGTGCTCTGAATACTTATAAGAATTTGCTTTTCACTAGCAATGCTGCCTCGGAAAGTATCTAAATAATCACATTAGCCCCTAGAGGAGGCACCAACCTCTGTTCCCATTTTCTGATGCTTCAGTGAGAGCTCCACCATGCTTCCCAAGGCTCCTAAGATTTTTAGAGCATGGGATCCAGATCGCTGGAGAGCAGCCATGTCGTCGTCTAAAATGTCTTCATTCATACACCTTGCACCGTTAGATTAAAAGGAAGGCGACTTCTGCTCTGGAATGCGCCCACAGCTCCTTGTCTTTCAAACCATGCACTTTCCAGGGTCCAGTGAATTAAGTTGAATCGGCTTCCCTTTAATGTTAAAGTGACATTAACAAGCCTCTGCAACTCAGTGCTTCCCTTTTTAAACCAACAAAGGTGATGGTTGGGTCCTGGAAGGAGAAAAAGCTTTTATCTGCTCTCTCTTGTGACCGATGGCTGGCATTTCGAAGGACCAAGTCTGGGTTTGGCTCTAATGGGAAATGTGAAACCAGCTTGAAAGGACAGGGCTCTAGACCCTCACTGAGGGTTATTCTTCATCATGTCACCCAAAAGGATTCTTAGGTCTTCACTGGAAAGGAGCAATGGAATAGAAAAGAAGGGATAGAAACAGGATCATTCAAATACCGAGTCTCCTTCAGAGAGTAGAAAACAGAGCTACTGCTGATTCATTCATCCTACCATGTAAATTCCACTCAACTGCAGGCCAGCAGAACTGCAGCATATGGAAAACCATCTACTGGGGGTTTCCTATATCTTAAGTTTTTGGCTAAGTGCTTTGCACACATTAAATCCTTTAATTCTCACAATCACCATTATTCACTTGGACTTCCCAGGTGGTGCTACTGGTAAAGAAGCCACCTGCCGATGCAGGAGACATAAGAGACACGAGTTCGATCCCTGGGTCAGGAAGATCCCTTGAAGGATGGTATGGCAACCTATTCCAGTATGCTTGCCTAGAGAATCCCACGGACAGAGGAGGCTGGCGGGTTACAGTCCATGGGGTCACAAAGAATCAGACCCGACTGAGCAACTAAGCACGATACCTAAGGAATGGGAGGGAATATGATGTAGCCCTTAAACATGTTACAGAGCTAGATTATAGGGATGCCGAGGTGTGAGGCTGATGTAGTCTATGAGCCAGAAATAGCACAAGAAGGTGAGTGAAGCCCAGGGAACTGGCATTCAGGTGCAGGCACTGCGTGTTTCGATCACCTTGGCAGCTGCCTTCCAGACACCAAGGGGGACAGGAGGGGGCTTCCTCTGATCGGTGAAGAGTGACAATGAGATGCCTTAGAGAGTCAGGGCCAGAAGCCATCCCTGAGGCTGACCAGGGATCGGGCAGGGCCACCTGCCTCCTGGATGTCCATTTGGTCGAATCTGAACCTGCAGAAGTCACTTTAACGCCCCTGTCCTGTCCATCTTACCCTGCCTCAGCCACTGCCAGAGTTAAGACCATACCCTTGTGTTTAGGCATTGTCTGGAATAGCATCAAGAAAAAATCGTTAGACATAAGTGAGGTCTTATGGTGCAGCACGGGAAGCTCTGCTCAGTTAGGTGGCAGCCTGGATGGGAGGGGAGTTCGGGGGAGAACAGACATGTGTATGTGTATGCTGAGTCTCAAACGATCACAGTCTTGTTAATCGGCCATACTCCAACACAAAACAGAAAGTTCAGAAAAAGGAACAGGCAATAAAAGCTAGCTAGCATTTAGAAAAATAAATAAATCACACAAGTGTCACCCATTAAAAAAGAAAGGAATGAGGTCTGAGTGAAAAGAAAAACAAACAAGCCTCGGCTAATAGCACACGCGCCAGAAGACACACCAGCCTTTCAAGTGTGCGATGGGGCTGTCCCGGCAACGTGGGCTGGCCCGGCAACATGGGCTGTCCCAGCAACACGGGGCTGTCCCAGCAACATGGGCTGTCCCGGCAACACGGGGCTGTCCCGGCAACATGGGCTGGCCCGGCAACATGGGCTGGTCCGGCAACATGGGCTGGCCCAGCAACATCGGCCCCTTCCGGGGCCACAACACAGTTAGGTGCATGACAGCGTTTCCAAGCCACGGGTTTCTGCATTCTGATGATTCATCTTCAGGGTAAGCCATTGCTTCCATACTCACAACTGTGATGGACTGGAATGCTGTTCGGAAAACATCCACCAACCCCGGACACCTTTATAGCTCTACTTCCAGCAGGACCCTATGGCTTGTTCTGGCCAACGGACTGTGAATGGACCCGATGCAGGCAGAGACCTTCAAGGTATTTCCATAACCTGGCCGACCTCTCGCACCCAGGTGGCCCACCCTCTAAGAACACAGCCTGGGTAGTTGTAGCCCCTTCAGCTTGGCCTCCACAACTAACACACTCAGGAGAGACTTGAATCCAGCTCCTGGTTTGGAGTTAAGCTCAGGGACCAGGGAACACAATGCAGAGCCTCCCAGTTGAGCCCAGGGCAGACGAGCCATACCATGACTGACCAGCAGAAATGGGGACCTGGATCTTACGTAAGCCATGGCATTTGGGATGATTTCTCACACTTGCATCATGCTATATGTCATGTTCTGGCTCACTAAAACTGAAATCAAATCCATGCATGAAAAATGGAACCGCTAATGTCGGTGCTCGTTGTAAGCATTTAACTTCTTTATCCAGTAGCTATCTAAATGTCCACCATGTCCCGGTCATCTTTCTATGTTCTAGGGAAGAGGTGAATATCTAAAATGAACATAGTTCTTGCCTTCATGCAGATTATAGTCAGCCTTCCTCTCAGTGGAGATGGACTGAGGCTCTAAACTACATGGCTGGATTGAAAAAATAAAATAAATAAATAAATAAACTACATGGCTGGATTGATAAGGCTGTCCTTTCATGAAAAGATGTAACTTTCTCTATTTATTCCTCCTTTTGGTACATTTACAGCCCTGGCGGTTTTATTAGAAAAAGACTGTCAGAAACCTAGACCACAAATGTGTTCCTAATAATGGTCTAGTTATTGACTGTAGAAGCACGAAGAACATCGGTTCAGCTCAGTTCAGTCGCTCAGTCGTGTCTGACTCTTTGCGACCCCATGGACCGCAGCACACCAGGCCTCCCTGTCCATCACTAAGAGCATGTTCAGCTCCGAATCACAGAGGCTCTCAAAGAATCACACTTGGGCTAGGCATGAAAGGAACATCGAGAAATCTGTTAGGGTGTGGATTCTGGGTCCCATCCCAAACCTACTGAATCAGAAACTCAGGTTGGGCCCAGTAATCTGAATTTTAATAAGCCCACCAGGTAGTTCTGATGAGCACTCGAGTTTGGAAAACAAACTGCACTAGAATAATCCCTAGAGCATGTTTCTAAATGGCACCCAGGTGAGCTGAACGATTCTCAGAATGTTTGTTGATTTTCAGGAAACGGCTTACCCATTTAAAGCACAGAACAGGCATTCTCCAGAGGGTAAGAATTTTTCCAGAATGAACAAAGGCCAGTCTTTCTCACTTAAAGGGGGGTTATCTTGACAGTTCATTCAAATCCAAAATATGCAGTTGGCCAAAAAGTGTCTCTGTGGCCATAAACAGACATCAACCATATGGCCAAAGCTAAGGTACATTCCTGTTGGGACTCATCTCAGAGAGACTTTGATTCTGTACTTGAGTCGATAGCCTCTCCCATCTTGCCAGAATATATGCAGTTTGGCAGACAAGCTCTGCAGAATTTCAAGAAACAAAACACCTTACTTTCAAAAATTGATTTCATTAAAAATCCTCAGCGCCTCTCGTTTAGACTCATTGCTTTTTTAATGCAATAAAAAAGTCCTGAATTAAAAATCAATGAAGTTAATAAACACGTTCAAGTTGAAAACCAACTTTTTATGAACTTAATTTTCCTGAATCTACTCCTTTAGGACACATTAAGGTGTTCAATATAAAAACCATTTTTTTCACCATCACTTAAATTTCCTCCAAATTTTCATGCAACACACTTAAAATTTTAAAATAGGCTGATGCAACTTTAGGTGGTTCATTTTTGTTAAATTGTAATACATTCTCTGACCCACATGCACATGGTTAATATTTATGGCTAATCATTAATGTACACACACAATAGATCCTATGAAGTATAGGAACTAACCCAGAGGAATAAAATAAACTTCAAGCCTGGTGCTCTGTATCTTCACAGGGCCTTGAGCAAATACAAGAGATATCAATGCAAAACCCTGGTTCCTGCATATATGATATGTCAGATATGAGTGCGGAGGACTCTCATTAATGAAAACAGATTATATTAGGGCAATAAAACTAAAATAAAGCCACTCATTTGCTTCACATGGGTAATTCAATTCACTGTGCACTGTAACTCTATCAACTCCGCTATACCCATCTCTGACCAATTTCCTTCTCATAAAGGGGAGAAATAGGCTTGTCTATACTACTAATTGCATTTCAGATCATTTTAATTTGGAACTCAAAAACAGTAATTCTCCTAACAATTGCTTATATTTATATTCTGCTTGACAGGTAAACAGAAATTGCCTGTTGGCTAAATAAATCCATGAGTCACAAAAGCCTGCAATCTGAACAGAGTTTTCCTCACTCACAGCAAAACCAATGTTGACTCTGCTCTAAACAGCATGAGGTGGGTCCTATTCATTCCTAGATTGAGCTTGGAGTCTCTGATGGGTCTCATTACCTCATCGTCCACGTTGCACCCATAATCCCCTCCATGACTTCTTTAGAGGTCAACAATATCCAGATTGCATCATTGACACAGGACATTTTCAGTCTTCATGAGAAAGGGTGAATAAATTGATGCTTTCAAGGGACTCTGATCCTGAGCTATCTTATGGTAAAGAAGCTATTCATAGAGCAGGATAAGGCTATATGGATATATGTGTTCCAGCATTCCTTTATTCCTCTCTCTCTAAGACCTCTAATATACACAACCTCAGCTCAACTCTAAATGAGATGCAAATGGTTGGTTGCGATCTAAATGAATTCTGAATTTTCAAATTGAGCTATTCAAATTCATAAGAGAAATATCTTCCTTGAGTACTTAATAGACTCAAAGAAAAATATTTTATGATTATTAAATCCAAATATACGGTGGTGGAATAGAATACAAAATTCATGACTGTGCTAAGACAGAGAGTAAGACTTCAAATAAGTTAACACCTTACATCAGACCCTCAAGGTGGGATTCTTGTGGCATGATGAGCACTCTCATGGAAAAACTTGGACCAAGAACTGGTCTAACTTTATACCCACTGATCACATCTGCATTTTATTGTTTTCCAATGAAATAACATGAACAACTTCACAGACAACTACTGATTCCCTGGCAAAGCAGGCGGTCTGTTTGGAATTCTCCACATGACAAAAAACAGTGCCTTGACATGATGGCGCCTCAGAGCGCAGACCAACTCCATGGATGAGCCTCTGGCCCTCCGTCTCCGCGCCTGCATGCATGCGTGCTCAGCCACTCAGCCGTGTCTGACTCTTTGTGACCCCATGGACTGTAATCCGCCAGGCTCCTCTGTCCATGGGACCTCCCAGGTAAGGATACTGGAGTGGGTTACATTTCTTCTTCCAGGGGATCTTCCTGACCCAAGGATCCAACCTGCATCTCCTATATCTCCTGCACTGCAGGTGAATTCTTTACCACTGAGCCACCAAGGAAGCCCTCCCTGCCTTTGGTCTCCACTTGTGATTAAAGTGGAAGGATGGTGATTTCCTAGGCCAACCAGCAATAGCTCCAGGAAGAGAATGGAAGCAAGTGATCCACAGATTCTGCCATCTCCCTTTGATGCCACTGATCTTTGCAGGAAAAAGAAATCATCATCACTAAGACAAACGCAATTCCGGTTTTATAGTTCCTGGACCATATCTTATTGTTTCCCTGTATGATACTGGCCACATTAAAGAGTTCTCTGAAGATACATCTCATTGTTTATTTACTTAAAAGAACCCTTAGATTTGTATTACACTTTATACTGGGAAAAGGTTGGATATTATTCATTACATTAGTGCTTTGGAGAAAGAAAGAGCTTTGTTTATTTTCCAGAGGAAATTACAGAAAAGTTACACTCCCATTCTTGCCCACTTTCTGACCATCTCCTCTTAATTTGAGGAATTTCTGTCCTGAAATTAACGGTGCCTACTTGGCTAAAGAAATATAAAGAGCTTTCTGGGTGGCAATGGAAAGAGTTTTGTCCTCCTGGATAGAGGATAGCGGCATGAGGAAGGACCTCTTCCCTCTACCCCCAGCACTGTCCCTCTAGTTTATTGTCTCTGAACACAGTTGTATGAGGCCTGAAAGGCAAGGAGCTATGCAGCCTCTTTGCGGCCATGAGACAAGAGTCAACTGCTTGCACTGATGTAGAGAAAGAGCCCCAAAGGCATGGAGCTAGTAAACTAAACCCAGAGCAGTCCCCCAGGTAGGAACCCCTGTTTCACCCCCTCTCAGTAGGGACGGCTACTCAGCCCGAAGTGCTGCCAGCAGGCACAGGCCCCTGACTTTCTCGGTGGCTCTGTGAACGAGGAGACTTCACTAAGCATCGGTTTTCTCATCCGCAGCACGAAGATGATAAGCCAGGCTACTCCTATCAGCTTTATCTACAACGCAGGGCTCCTGAGAGGTTCCAACCCATTGCTTTTATAAGGGAAAACAAAAACCTCTCATATATACCTCATCTTTGGGAGAACAGGGGCTGCCTATGGTTCATACTCTACAAGACACATCACTGAGCTTTTTCACCTGATTCTTCTTGTCCACGACTCTGCATTTGGACTTCTCGTTGATTTTGACAGCTTCTTCCACCTAGAGTACTTGATGGAAAATATTTTTCAATTATCAAAAGCCTGAGTGGACTTCCTTGGTCAGCGACTCTGTGTATTATCACATATATGCTTGATGCTTCCTCATTCCACAAGGTGAGGACAACAGAGGCTTTGTGATTGGAATCCTCCTAGAGTTTGCTCTATGAGCCTCTCCCTTTGTGAAAGAAAGTGAAAAGTGTTGATTGCTCAGTCATGGTTCTCCAGGCAAGAATACTGGGGTAGGTAGCCATTCCCTTCTCCAGGGGATCTTCCTGGCCCAGGGATAAAACCCAGGT